TATTACTATCAAAAAGATAGAGGTTTCGACGTGGGCAATTTTGGACAATACCTTCAGAAATACACAGATGGAGAACGTGCGTGGAGATTTTTGTTTTCTATCTATCTATTACGTAAACATATATAGATATATTGCATAAATGCACAAATTGGTCCGTCTTTTTGTCCTATTTACTTGTTTAGTTTTTATTTATAAAAAATTATTTTGAAAGTGTAGATTTATGAAGAGTTACTGAGCTTACATAATTACAGATTTGCACAGGTCTCTCTGGTAAAACACCTGACAAACTACGTTTCGTCTATCTGTGTGAGTTTAAAAATGAATTAAACTAAAGGAGATTTATATTATTTGGTGTTATTGTGCTGAACGTACTTTATATCTACAGTGGCATGTGGGAGTTGGTTTGACAAGGAGCTAGACTGGTGGACACAGGGAAGGCAAAACCCGAACGTTTTGTTCATGAGTTATGAAGAACGCTTAAAGGTACTGGTAGATATGGGACAATAAAATTGTTTTTTAGTAAGTGAAAATTGTTGACAGCAGTTTGGTAAGACTTTAAGCCTTATTGTTTATGAACGTTTTTAATTGTGTGTTTGTGTTACAAAGACTACGAGAGATAGGGGGTTGTTTGGCGACCATTTGCTATGAACATTATTTTTACAGGCACCAAATGAATGTACAAGAAAGCTTATCGAGTTCCTTGATCTTGTAAATATACCCACGGACGACGACTTCCTGCAAGATATTGTAGAAAGAACCTCGTTTGAATCCATGAAACAGACAGACGGTCCCATAGTCAATGAAAGTTTGAAATTCCGAAATGGAACCTATTTCAGAAAAGGTAAGCAGTCTGCAAATTAACACTTGCCGTGGATGTTTCGCATAAATGATTTCTATTGAAACTGGAAACAATATCACACTGGGCATTTACAAATCGAATGTCATTTGTTCAGCGCGTTGTCCAATAGCTTATTATATGCTTAAACTGTAATTAAATACTTCGTCTTTTTAAAGTAGTAAGTTGCACTATTGGTCACTCCTAGTTGTGTTTTTAATCCAAACGGTTGAGAAATAGAATTTTGTGGAATTGGTATTGTAAAGGCCTAATCGGGTTTGCAGCTCGATGTATGTGGAATTAATAAGTGAGCAACTTCAAAGTGTTTTTTTTTTTTCAATATCAGGCCAAGTTGGTGACTGGAAGAACTTCTTCACAGTGAAACAAAACGAAGACTTCGACAAAATATTCTTTGAGAAAATGAAAGGAAGCGACCTACCCGTGGTATTCGAGTGATTTTCATTTTTAAGTAACCAGCTTTGGTTCGATTTCGAAACACAGGAAAATAACTTGAATGTGCAATAATTATGATGATGACTTTTTTGCCTAGCAATATGGAAATAAAGATATGTTTTCTCAGTATGCCCTCGGAGAAAGAAAGCAACCCACAAGCAGGCGCAGCAAGTGCCAATACCCATGCATAAACATAGGCCATAAAAGCAATACTCATATATATGCCATCGAGGGAAATTTAACACCAACGAAATAGAAATGTGATTAGCACAAGTTAGGGTTAGACGGAATATTGGGGTTAGTATACGGGACGGTTGTCACCTGTACAAACGGATTAGGGTTCCTAGTGGACTACTTTCCCTGTTACACCTGTATTGCACCTTAACATACCCTAGCATTAAATAGGCATAAAGATTTCATTGTTCACTGGCCAATGTTAAATTCTTGATGATCACTGTTTGAGGTACATTGTATCACAGAAAAGCTTAAACTTCATTAAGTCAAGGAGTTATAACAGAAGGAGATTACACGCGTCGNATAACTTCTTGGTCAGATGCACAAGCTTATTTAAATCACATGCAACTTATGTGCAAATAAATACGAAAACAAAGCGAAGAATACAGGCCCTCTGATACATTTGTGACGGATAATTTGTTCAGAAATAAAACACAGTTCTTCGGCCTTTTCCGATGTATTCGCGAAAACACATCATATGGAATGGCGCACGTATACTACACTATCCGGGACTTGAAGCACGATTGCCTACGATCCAAGACTGGGATGTAGCAGATGATGTTATATTTGTCACTTCTTTTCCAAAAGCTGGTGGGTATTCTCACGAGATCCATTGGCTTTATACTGTTAAATATTTTATATCGAAAGGTACTTCCAAAAGAAGGAAAATTGAATAGGCTCTCCAGGGAAGCTAAACCTGAATACAAAAGATACAAGAAATACGGTGTTACAGATTTCATTTTCTTAAAGGATTTGCCCATTTTTTCTTAAAATAGATACAAATCTTTGCAGTTTTCCTGTAAATGTTTAGGTTAAAAAATTTGAGGCGTCTTGCAGCGTCTGAGCGCAGGCAGACGGTGGTTGCGCTTTAGTCAAGCTTAATTTTTGACAATTTTTTTAAATCGCAAGCCCGTAGGCCGTAGCATTATCGTACATGGCATCGCACTGTTCCTGTACGGGCAAAGTTCGGTAGACTTGTGTGATCGTGATAATGTTAGAACCTTTTGTAGGTCTCTTTTCCTTCCTCCTTCAGTGGTTTTAGGAGGTATAACAGTAGTAAAGATGTCTAAAACGTAGTGATATTCACATCGTCCACCAACAGATGTCTCTGTATTTGTCTTTTTTTTCAATCTCGCAACAAATAAAACTATAAATAGCCCTATTGGGGGTTAGATACCCATGTCGTGCCCTCCCTGTGGATAAGCTAGTCTTCGAAAAAAAAAAATCTAGTTTTCTTTTGTAAAGTTTAGATCCTGATTTTTACTAACGGTAATCATGATAAGCCTATAACAAAATACGCGATAATACATATTCCTTTCTGACAAAACAGGTAGCTACTGGATGACGAAGACCATCAACATCTTGGTTGAAGAGAATCAGAAATGGAACGGAGGCGTCGATATACTAAAGTCTGACCCGGTATCTTCTTGGCCCTTTTTGGAAGAAATGGAAAGAGATCAGCTATCATCCCCACTTAGACCATCTATGGTAGTGTGTACCCATCTACCAAGAGGCTTACTGCCTGTAAAGTTATGGGAAAATAATAAAATAATCCACATATTTCGAAATCCTAAAGACACAGTTGTATCGCGGTATTACTATCAAAAAGATAGAGGTTTCGACGTGGGCAATTTTGGACAATACCTTCAGAAATACACAGATGGAGAACGTGCGTGGAGATCTTTGTTTTCTATCTGTCTATTACGTAAACATATGTAGATATATTGCATAAATGCACAAATTGGTCCTATTTACTTATTTAGTTTTTATTTATAAAAAATTATTTTGAAAGTGCAGATTTTTGAAGAGTTACTGAGCTTACATAATTACAGATTTGCACAGGTCTCTCTGGTAAAACACCCGACAAACTACGTTTCGTCTATCTGTGTGAGTTTAAAAATGAATTAAACTAAAGGAGTTTTATATTATTTGGTGTTATTGTGCTGAACGTACTTTATATCTACAGTGGCATGTGGGAGTTGGTTTGACAAGGAGCTAGACTGGTGGACACACGAAAGGCAAAACCCGAACGTTTTGTTCATGAGTTATGAAGAACGCTTAAAGGTACTGGTATATATGGGACAATAAAATTGTTTTTTAGTTAGTGAAAATTGTTGACAGCAGTTTGGTAAGACTTTAAGCCTTATTGTTTATGAATGTTTTTAATTGTGTGTTTGTGTTACAAAGACTACGAGAGATAGGGGGTTGTTTGGCGACCATTTGCTATGAACATTATTTTTACAGGCACCAAAGGAATATACAAGGAAGCTTATCGAGTTCCTTGATCTTGTAAATATACCCACGGACGACGACTTCCTGCAAGATATTGTAGAAAGAACCTCGTTTGAATCCATGAAACAGACAGACGGTCCCATAGTCAATGAAAGTTTGAAATTCCGAAATGGAACCTATTTCAGAAAAGGTAAGCAGTCTGCAAATTAACACTTGCCGTGGATGTTTCGCATAAATGATTTCTATTGAAACTGGAAACAATATCACACTGGGCATTTACAAATCGAATGTCATTTGTTCAGCGCGTTGTCCAATAGCTTATTATATGCTTAAACTGTAATTAAATACTTCGTCTTTTTAAAGTATTAAGTTGCACTATTGGTCACTCCTAGTTGTGTTTTTAATCCAAACGGTTGAGAAATAGAATTTTGTGGAATTGGTATTGTAAAGGCCTAATCGGGTTTGCAGCTCGATGTATGTGGAATTAATAAGTGAGCAACTTCAAAGTGTTTTTTTTTTTTTTCAATATCAGGCCAAGTTGGTGACTGGAAGAACTTCTTCACAGTGAAACAAAACGAAGACTTCGACAAAATATTCTTTGAGAAAATGAAAGGAAGCGACCTACCCGTGGTATTCGAGTGATTTTCATTTTTAAGTAACCAGCTTTGGTTCGATTTCGAAACAAAGGAAAATAACTTGAATGTGCAATAATTATGATGATGACTTTTTTGCCTAGCAATATGGAAATAAAGATATGTTTTCTCAGTATGCCCTTGGAGAAAGAGAGCAACCCACAAGCAGGCGCAGCAAGTGCCAATACCCATGCATAAACATAGGCCATAAAAGCAATACTCATATATATGCCATCGAGGGAAATTTAACACCAACGAAATAGAAATGTGATTAGCACAAGTTAGGGTTAGACGGAATATTGGGGTTAGTATACGGGACGGTTGTCACCTGTAAAAACGGATTAGGGTTCCTAGCGGACTACTTTCCCTGTTACACCTGTATTTCACCTTAACATACCCTAGCATTAAATAAGCATAAATATTTCATTGTTCACTGGCCAATGTTAAATTCTTGATGATCACTGTCTGAGGTACATTGTATCACAGAAAAGCTTAAACTTCATTAAGTACACACTGCAAGCTTCACGCGAAAGACATACTGATACTGATACTGATCAGTGATAAAACGTTGAGATGAGCCTGTGGTTAATATATAGGCCTACTACATATAGGACTACCATTCCTGTCACACCGGCATTGATGTGACGTTGAACTCAAAAGCAAAATATTATGACCTCTTCAGACTTCCTGTGCTCAGCAGGTCATGGGACGCACAGTGTATATTCAGAGTCAAGCCTTGTCTCAGGCACCTACTTGCGACATTGACCTAATAACGACTAGTGAGTAGACATACTGGTGGTGTATTATGTCTGATTCAACAGGTGCGTGGTTCACGTCGGGCAATTTAGGTCACCTGAAATATCATATTATGTATGGTTATATAACCTTGTTCAAAAACGAAATGTACGTGTAGCCTACGTGGTCTTTTTCTATGTATTCGATAAGACGAATCATATGGGATGGTGAGCTTATACCATACTACACGGGGTTTGAAAGACGACTCGCTACCATCCGAGAGTGGGATGTGCCGGACGACGTTATATTTGTCACTTCTTATCCAAAGGCTGGTGAGTTATTTTTTGTCTATAAAGGTTAGCGCGCTGTCAATTCGTAGATTCTAATTTTCAAAAGGATTCGATGGAAAGTAAAACTGAATAACAGACTACGGTTAACCTATAAAGGGATAGCACGTGATGTTATGGATAGGTATTCGATCT